GAGTGGTGGGCCACCCTGTATATGTTACCATTTCAAAAAAATGAAGTAAAAAAATAAGGGTGAACGTATGAAGTATTTAACCACTACTCAAAAAAAAAAACATTTTTAAGATTATTATTTTTTAGAATAAATTTTGTTAACAATGATAAATCAATTACTCTGCTATTACTTATACAATACCCTAAAGCTATTTAAAAATATTTTAATATAATTTCACACAATTTTTTCTAAAATTTTATACAAATTTATCAAATTTCAATCTTTGTGAAAAATAATTAATATTTTTAAATTTTAAAGTTTAAAAAAGTTTATTGGAGTGCATGACCGATTTTAAACTACTTCTGCAAATTAAAAGGGTATACACGAGGCGGAGATAATTTATGGGAAGAGGATGGGATAAAAACATAACCCCCCTTCCCAATATTTTAATTAAATAATTTGATTCCATAAAAAAATATTTTATAATGGATATACAATGTACAACAACTAACGTAATATTTAATTTGTTTTTAAAGGGAGGGGGTGGTTACATCTATGATTTGCTAGAATCATTAAAACTTTGAAGACGTTGAATTCTTTTTTTTTTTAGATTGACGTTTGAGGATTCCGAAAATGGTTGTCACGAGCCAAGTTTTATTTAAATACCTTTATAAAATCCATTCATGTATATTAAATACTTGAACAAATATGAAATTTGTAATTGTTTATTACAAAATTCTTACAAAGAAAAAGATTCACTAAAAAGAATAAAATAAATCATATTAAAATTAGAATATAGTCAATGTATTAGGATAATAATTTACAATTGTTATTTTTAGTCAGTACCACCCCAGGCTTACTTACGTTTATCACTGAAGTAGCTTAGTATATGTTTAATATTATAACCGACAATAAGACAGCAGACGCGGTACAGAATACAACAGTAAGGAGCGAAGCAATTTATTTTAGTGGTGGAATAGTAGTAGTAGTGATTTCAGAACTGTTATTTCCCTAAAGCAATAACTGCTAATAAAAATGATTAATACTAGTGATTGCTAGTTTTCTTTATCAATATTATTACTTTTCTGGATCACATTGTTAACTGCCACAATCTACTAAGTCAGATTTAACGTTTTAATTAATTAAATTAACTATTAGAACGACTATTGTTATTTATTAACAACGTATTATACATTTTAAAATATTTTCTTAGAATACTAGATAACTCCCAGAAATCGAATTTTCGGATAGTTTTACTTTTATCATCTTAAATTACATTGCATTAACTTAAGTTTAATGTAAGTATAAAGAAGACAGGTTTTTTAAAATGTTATGAAATATTGAAAATAAAAAAATTTGCTATGATGATTCTATCCCTTCCCAGTACTTCGGTTAGTGATTTTCAAAAAAATGTATGTTAAAATCTAGAAAACATTTTATAGAACTGAAATTCTTTTTAGATTCGTATATCATTCAAATAAATACATTTTGTGATTTTTTTGATATATATAGTCGTGCAAAATTGGTCCAGTAGAAGCGAAGTAATTGAGTACACGGACAAACAAAAATATTAATTACTAATAGCCTCTTAGCTATGCATTAAAGCTAATAGTTATAAAAATGATCAGTTTCATAATTTCTTTAAAAAATATCAATAGCTGCTATTTTTTACTACTATTTCGAAACAACAATAGCATATGAAGATGCTACTAAAATAAATAATATTTAATCGCCATTAATTTATTTTTAAATAAATTCGAAAATTTTGATACCAACAGTCAAAGACGCCGCCCTCCACGTTACGACATTCGGGTTGCTACTCAACTGTGTTACATTATATGCCCGTCACTGTGGGTCGTGCTGTTCAACATCAACCGTTTGCTGTTCTGATGTTGATTATGAAACACGTCGATACACGTTTGTTTATCTTGAGTGATACCAACTCCAACAATATCAAACATTTGTATTATAATCTTTATAAATCGATTTTATTCTAATTCTGATCTAATTTATTTTACTATTTTTAGTGAATTTTTTCATTGTATATTTATTGGTGGGTATTTTTTATTTATACTTTTTGGTACATATTTTTAATATTTTATAATATTAACTAATAATGTTACAAAACAATATTTACAATAAAGAAATACTTTATTGTATTTGAAGGTTTGATGAAACAATAATTTGATGGTCTTAAAAATATACATAACAAAGTGAGGCATCAATAATACATGTGTTATATATTCAGATTATTTCTTTAGAAACTTAGGGTTATGATCATAATTGTGCTACTTGATAAATTTAATTAATTTTTAGCAAAGGTAACTACTTTAAGCATATAATAAAATTCACATGACACATGTGTTTCATGGTAAACTATCAACTTTAAATTGTGATTTTAGCTTCGGTGCGAAGCTGAGAAGGTATTGGTTTTACTATGTGTTTTTTTTTGTGACTGTTACCAATTTTTCTCAGGTTTCAACGAACGGATGTATTTCAACGATACGTCAAAGAGATCACAAATCGTATCTAGTCGAAGGTATTACCCTCAAAAATTGAAAAAATTTCCCTCGTTCTTCGTAAATGGGGGAAACCTCCAAAAAATTTTAAAAATCGCTAATTTTCAAAATTTTTTCAATTTTTTTTTCTTAAATCTGCCATAACTTTTTCAAAAATGAACAAATCAATATAATTTTTTTTTATAGATGCTTGATGTCTTTACCTATCTGTAATAAGCTTCGACTATAGTTTTATCGTCTCTTGCACCGTGTTTCCCTACTCACACAAATGTTGTCTACATAAGTACTGAACAATAACGCGATCAGTCGGAAATTCACCACAGTCATATTCAGCTATACTTTGCAAAACATGAATAGTAGAAAAGAGCAAACATTTCACACCGGAGTCCGCTGTATTTAGCTGATTTTTACCTAACTGGACGCGAGGCGACGCGCGCCACAATATATGATCAGGTAACATTAAAATTTGCCTAATAATTTGATTAATATCAGCCACAAAGACATATCGTGATAACCGAAACAATGTTAGAGCGTCCATAACATCAGGTTATAATTTCGGCCCCGCATATAAACTTTGATCTAACGAAGTCACGGAAAATGCTTAATCCGACGTGTCAAAAACCACTCTTAATTTGACATCGACTCTTGAAGGTTTGTATACGTTATGATGAGGAATAATATGTGATCCTTCCGATGTAGCCGGAGACATGTGGCCCAAGGTCAAATATTTAGACATAAATGCGCAAAAAGACTCGCGAAAACGCCTCCAATTTATTGTCCAAAGACGTAAAACATGGCACAGCTATCGCATGTGATTCACAAATTCAATTTAAGGCTCATATACGCGAACAATTGTGACTGCCGATAGTGTCGGACACAACTATTCTGAATGTCGTTGGTTAACTGGTAAGTGGGAGGGGGGTGGATGATAAGCTACGTGGAACATTGACCGGCCTACAAACGTAACTTTTAAACAAATGTAATTATCATTTAAAGCTAATTTAATTAAATATTAATTTATAATCCAATATGAAGATAAAAATGTCCATGATCATTAATTCTATTAAATTTTTTGAAACATTCATGTAAAATTTAATTTTTAGTAAAAATAATTTTTACTATTTTAGACATATGTATTGATAATCCTTGTCATGAGTGTGGGTAATGAAGCCTAAGATCATAAAATAAAATTTAATTGTATCAATAAAAAATACCAAATTTATATTTATAAATTACACAGATCGGTAGATAATATTTTATCCTCTTGTCTCGTGATAAATCATTATCATTATAATTTTATTTTACGAAAAAATGATTATTTAAACTGAAGAAAAATAAAATAATATTGTTTATTTTAAGTAACCTATTTTAGAATCATATTATTTTATAATAACTATCCAAATTAATAAAATTCAATAAAATTGTTAGAAAAAAAGGATCAGCAGAATTAGCGAATGGACAAATTTATTCATACAAAAAATGAAATTTATTTACTCTTAATTAATATTATTTATTTAATTTATATTTACAATTTATTATTATCAATTGAACTGATAGAGTACTTAAATAAAGAGTTGTCTTAAATATAAAAGAAAATATTTAAGTTTCTTTAAAAAAATAACGGTAAACTGCTAAACAACTCAATCAGTCAAATTATTCTTATCAATTAGTATCCAACACAAATATTAAGAAATTTTCATAATTTTCAGCTACCTTGGAGAATTTTTCAATATCTAATATTTATTTTGACTTGTGATAAAGTAATACAAAAGATTTTTTTACTGTAAAAATAATAATAACATTGCTATATGCGTTTTTCGTTTCAATTAGGTAATTTAATGTGATAATAATTTTTCATTAACATATTCGTACCTATAACCTACTTATAACATAATAAAATTGCGTTCACTTTAATCGTATAGGAAATATAACAAGTACAGACATTTGATGATATCATTTAATGAATATAAAAATAAACGAACATTTTTCACAAACTTTAAACTTAATAAATTATTATTTTGTTTGCACACGTCTAAGCACTGTATTTTTGTATGTGAATATTATGATGAATATTGAAAAAATTGATTATTCTAACTTATTTTATTGAACTGTTGATTTTGTTTTTTGCATTTATTAATATGAATCTTGGACTAATTATTTTAACATTGTCTTTAATTCAATACAATATTATCACTGTAGATAATAAAATCTGTAAAATAAAACAAAATAATTACTTAGATTATTTAAATGAAATAGTATACCATATGTGTACTCAAAATGGATGGCAGTCTATGGAAAACTTATATTTAAACATTGATCCGATGGGAAATACAAATGTTCCAGATTTAATAGGACGACAATTGGACAGAAGTAATTTGCTTATTACTTTCTATAATATTGTTCATATTTTAAACTACAATTATAACGAAGTACTTCTAATATTCGTTAAATTGTTAAACATTATTGTTGATAAATGTAAACACTTTTTGGACGCCGAATNATTATTGTTGATGAATGTAAACACTTTTTGGACGCCGAATTATTAGAAAATTTTTTTAATTGTACTAAAGTACTCGAAAAATCAGTAAAAGATTCATTGACTATGTTTGAGAATTTATATAATGCTATTACATTCATAAGATATATAGACCTAAACTTGAAAAATCTAAAAGTTGATGAGTTACAAAGTTATCTGTTTACCACAGATGACGACATTTATCAGATAAAAAACCACAAATTTTTTAAAAATGTGCAAGACGAGAAATCTTATGATTATCATCAAATATTTCTTGATGTTAGAAATTTCATTGATAATGTATCTAAAATAGCAAATAACTTTTTTGAGAAATATAAATTTATTCAAAATATTTATGAGAATGATGATTGCAAAATGATATGTGAAATAGAATATTCATCCCATTCGATAGATTCACCGGATTTTATTTCATTCATGTATCAAAAGGTCAATTCGTTTTACACTGATACCATAAAGAATAATTACGAGGATCTTGGATTTATTCAATTGATAAATCCAACAATTTATAAGTAAGTATAACTTATTTATTGAGTCCTAGATTTATGAGTATTTTCTATTTTATAATTATAAAATAGGAATAATTTTATTAAATATATTATACAATATGTGTATAAATTATATATAATTCAAAGATTTTTGACTTTCCGATCAAAATTTGTTGTACGTATAATCTGTTTTTGTAGTATCAAATAGCATCATAACATAAAAATAGATTTTTTCGAATTAAATTCTATTCTCAAATTTATTGTTAGGAGTGATTTATAAACAGCATTACTTGTGATTTTGTGTATTGATAAAAATGTTGTTAATAAAATAAATATTGAATATATTATTTATATATTCTTTAATGCAAAAGCCAAAACAGTTAATATGTTAAAGTAGTACTTTAAATAATACGTAATGTATTACTTAAAACGTAATATTATTACGTTTTGTATGAAAAACATATTCCTATTAAGTGTAATGAATCTTTTTTTTTATTTTACTTCAAAAAATATAATTTTTGTCTTTTATTTTATTGTTTTTTTTAATCGATAAATTATTTAAAAACAAAATTACGACTTATCTATTTTCTAAGTGAAATTCTGTCATAATAGTTTGACAAATATTTGATAATTCATTATATACTGATACAATTTTTTGCAGTTAACTAAAATAATTTTATAATATGAAAATAAGCATTTCAAAAGGTAGTTTAGTTTCTTGTTATTAGATGATACGCTATTATTATTAAATATTTTTTGTATGAAAAAAATTAGTTAGTTAATTAGCTAATTAGGGGTGTTGCCATTAGCGAAATTAAAGTTGACTCCCTTAAAAGTAATAAGAGATGAACACGAAAAAAACTTTGATTGAAAAATTGAGAAAAACATTAAAGTAAAAGAAACAAATAAAATGATATTAATAATTATTATTGTTACTTGATTAAGTGGTTCATGATAACTGAATCATTCTGTATGTAACTGCGTGATTTAATGATTTATGATAAACCGATCACCATGTATAAAATAACATAGTATAAATAAATAAGTAATATCTGCTAATATAAGATAATTTAACTGATTTATTTAAATATTTATACAGATTTACACCTCCCATAGTCCAAACTATTAATCAAGAACTTGGTATCACGTCACTCAATATTATACTTAGTGAGGGTAGTTGGAGTTCATTTAACCACATAGAAATACAATATGACGATTTGAAAATATGCGCTTCACGTATTTTTAGAGACCTGGTGACAGATCATAATTTTCATCTTAAAAAAAATTACTTCGCTCAAATGGTGAGATGCAGATTTTATGAAGTGCTTCTAATTTACAATACATCATTATCTGCTTTGAAAATANTATGAAGTGCTTTTAATTTACAATACATCATTATCTGCTTTGAAAATAATGTGTGATAATGAAAAATTTAAAACTATTCCAAAACATTATGTGAACTGTGTAACATTTCTTTTTGACGTTATTAATGATACAGTTAAAATGTTTGATTTCATGCTGACAATTTTAGAAAAAATGAAGCTATCAGCAATTTGGCCAAACACTTCATCATATTCTAATCTAATTTCAACTCATAATTTGATACGTAATTATGTTATTAATCTTAAAACTCGTAATGTAGTACGAGATATGTTTGTAAACAAACCTGGAGTACCTATTGAAAAATTAGCTGATAATTACGTTAAAAGTTATATAAAAGCAAGATATGAGTTTATTATTATGCTACGTGCTTTTAAATTTAAAATAAAAAAACACTGTTTTTCAGATGGCTTAATTGTCACTACGAAAGATCTGATAATTAAATTTAAAAATACTGCATCTTTTATTAATGAAACAATGTCAAATGATTCTCGTACCTCCGATTATGAACTTATTTCGATATATTTATATGAGTTCTGTAAACAGTTTATTAAAACTTTTTGCTTAGATACAGGTTTTCATAAAATACATGAAAATTATACTTGGACATGGAAATAATTAATTTTTGTTTTACAAAGTTAAAAATATAACATTTATATGATCGAAATACGTGTTTTATGTTAAATTAGAGCATAATTTCTGGTATATGAAGTAGGACCTGACACGACTTACGTCGCAATAATGTAGTCGACACTGGTTTTGTGGGTATAGACCAGTGGGCCGTTATTAATAAGCAACAACAGGTTATTTGAAAAAAAAAACAAACCCAAAAGACGAACACAGTTAATAAAAATATTTTCTTAATATCGCGGTACCTTCGTTGGCGTTGGCGACGCGGTGTCCGACATGATCCTCGGGCGTCAAAAGGTTAGCAATATTGAAGGAGATTGTGCGCGGGTGTGATTCGGTTCGTCGAGTCCAGTCCTGCGGCACGTCCGGAGCTGGTGGCGTACATCCTCGACGTTGTCACTATCATAGTTAAACGCATATACATTTTATTATGTTCATTTTGACAACGGGAAGAAGACTCAACGTATCTTTTGCGGCGGGCCGTCGTCGGCTGTATGGTATTTGCTGGACTCTGCACTGTGGCGTATGGCACGCGTTGTTGGTCAGTCAAATACCCATAGTAGGGCGACGGCTGATAAAGGTGGCACGAGTCGCGGGGCATCGTGTATCAAGCGACACGTGTCAGACCTCTTCTATCATAATAAGTTTAATGTAATTTTAAGTAAATTCTTCAGAAAGCCCAAAATCAATAAATTGATTTATTTTTAACTATTGTATCGTTATATTTTCATTAGATGAATAATATCGTATAGTTATAATTGCCATGAAAGTTTCTAAATTAAAAAAAAATTTTAGACTTTTGTCGACAATTATCTTTATAGGCAAATATCCTTTTTGTATTGCTGGTTGGTATATTTATTAGTGTTAGTTGTAGCTTCGATGCGAAGCTGAGAAGGTATTATTTTACTAAGATGTGGTTTTTTTTTTTTTTTTTTTTTTTTTTTTTTTTTTTTTTTTCCCT